GTGTAGCAGGACTTACAAACTCAGAAACCAAAAGTAACCAAATAAAATGGTCTGAACATGCAAATTCCTAGCTAAAGGCCAGACACGGTGGGTAGTCATGTCCTAAGCCTGTAGCTTCCTTGACAAAGGTCAATCTTTACCTAAGTGAGCCTGTCAATTGTCTTTTTTTGTCTAAGACAACATACTTTTGAAATGTCAGAGTAATCTTCTTTTCCAGACCTGCACTAGAGCACAAGACCACAGAATCTCTCATTGCTATCTCAGGCCACGCATACCATTTCTATGGGCTGTAAAGGTCAATTATTAACTAATACTGTATCCACCAATGTAAAAGAAGTGCGTGTCTCTCCATATCGCTTTCTATCCAATCCCAAAGATTTCCACGCTTTGCTTTCTCCCGCCTCCCTAATCTACCACCAATGGATTTCATATAACACTTCTTACGTCTTTTCCTTTTATTCTAATGTATAAAATAAGCTGCAAAACTCCCATTCTCCGGAGCATTTTCTCAATTCATTGAGATTTTGCTCCCTGGCAATTGTCGTCAGTTTGGCTCAACGAAACTCATAAAAACACTCTACAGGTAAGTGGATACGTTTCTTAGTTTCTTATGTTGACAGTCTTATAGATTTGTGATAGTTCTTTCAATATTCTAGATATTTATTATATTTCACTTACATGTGTTACAAATTCTCTTAATCTCTAGCTTATATTTTACTTTTTAGTGGTTTTTAACTTTTTAATTTAAGTTAAATTTATCCATTTTTTGCTCTATGCTTTGAGCTTTCGCATCTTAAGAAATGCTACAATAATCCTTCAAAAGATTAAAAAAATTTGTTTTCACTATATCAAATTCAAATCTCACTGAAAGAATAAAATGTATGTGTAGAAAGTGTATAAACTTTGGTTTTAATGTGTTGAATCTATTTTTTAATTTAATTTTAATTTTTAAAAATTTATTTTAGAGAGAAAGAAACATTGATCTGTTGTTTCACTTAATTTATGCATTCATTGGTTGATTCTTGTATGTGTCCTGACTGGGGATCAAAACCATAACCTTGGCATATTGAGATGATGTTCTAACTAACTGAGCTACTCAGTCAGGGCTTGAATCTGATTTTAATATCTGGGATGTAGAATTCAAAATTTATCATCTTTAGAGATAGTCACCTGCTCCAATTTAATAATTCCAAGCAAGCATAAAATCAGAATTCTTCATCTCTTTTTCTTAAAATACAAGTATAGTCTAATTTTAAGAAATGCCTTAGTTTTTATTTAAAAATTAAGTTAAATTTGCATGCTTATGTATTAAAAATTATGTTAGAAGTCTACTTTTTTACCTTTAAAAGTTTCTTAGTCCCGATTCATTGGCTCTCAAACTTTTCTGACATTGCTTCTATTTTTCAGTCTCTGAAATACATACATACATTAATATATACATGTGTACATACATACATACATACATACAAATTGCTTCCTCTCAAATTTCCATTTATTTCATCTTTATTTCCTGAAAGGACTCTATTCACTTAGATTTATTAGGCTTCCAAGGACCACTCACATAGCTTTTTGTAGGTATAAATAGGGGATTTGTGATCAACTCTACTCTGTCTTCATTTCTTAATTTAACAGAGAAAAGGAAAGCTCTAGGAAAAAGTTTTTGAAGAGTAAAGGATTGGTTGTTAAAATAATTTTAAAGAATTTCTACTGCAACTGAAATTCATTCAGGGTTAAATTTAAATTTGTTTCATATGATTAAATTAAGAACTAATGCCTGGATATTACAGTAAAACATTTCCATACACATGTAAGTGCTATATGTAGTATGAAGATGGCAAGTTATTAATTTAGCATTTATATTTCAGGGTAAAGAATAAATGAGGGAGAACTGATAGATTGAAATAGATGAAAAGAGTTACATAGTTACACTCACTTTGTGAAAATTTATTGGATTGAACACTTTCATCAAGTTTTATATTATGCACTTTTCTGTATGCTTTTATACTTCAATAAAAAGTTTTTTTAAAGAAGACAAGGGCCCTAACCAGTTTGGTTTAGTGGATAGAGCATGAGCCTGAAGACCAAAGGGTTCGATTCTGGTCAAGGGCAGGTGCCTTGGTTGCAGGATTCTCCCCAGCCCCAGCCCTGGTCAGGGCTCAAGCAGGAGGCAACCAATAGATGTGCTTCTCTCACATCAAAGTTTCTCTCTGTCCTTCCTTCTCTCTTCCACGCTCGCTAAAAATCAGTGGAAAAATATCCTCAGCTGAGGATTAAAACAACAACAAAATTTTAAAAAGAAACAAGAGATCAACCTAATGCAATATATGGATCCTGATGCCAATAAAGGGAAGTTTTTAAAAAATCCTTTTTTGCAATTGAGAAAATCTGAAATCTGATGAAATTAAGGAATTATTTTTCTAAGAGTAATAGTGATGTAGTAATGGTTATTTATTTTTTAGTCCTTTTATTTTACTTGAATGTGTGTGCCACAAAACTTGTTTGTTGAAACTGGATGGTGGATACATTGGAGTTTTCTACTTTTGTATGTGTTGGAATTCTCTGTAATGCAATTAAAATGCAAACACACACACACACATGGATCCATTTCTCTCGCTAATAATTTTTCATCCTTACTAATACTGTTTTTTTAAATTCACAGTCATTTGGAGGAGAAAAGGAATCTTTTGGGAAATTTTCATTACTCTGTTTAGACGCAGGATGGCACTCTTTGAATAAGTAATTAGTCAAAGTCCACTTCTCACTGGATAAGCTCCTTTCCTTTACAATATTGCTACTTCCTAGGGCAGTTTGTCTTAGTTGAGAGTAAAAATTGTCAAATAGCTTATAGAAATGATTACTATTCACACCTTAGTTTAGTTTTCTGTGATGGCTGTGTTTATCCACCACCAGTTTTTGAAAAATTAAGGACCAAGTCCACAAAAATTTAAAGGATGGGTTTGATGCAAAAACAGCTCTGTGGCTACTCTTCTTATTTTTGACATTTATAATTATTGCTAGGAGATCAGCCACCTCTTGTGTGCTAATGCAAATATCTATATTTCTATATGAACCATCTTTATTTAAAACTGTGAATGCCAACCACAGAACGCATTTCTACGTTTTCAATGGCATTGAGCCAAATACTACTGATTTAAGGTCAAGATGAGGACTATTGACTGTGGACAGATGCTTTCCCCTTTCAACCCTCAAAAAAAGAATTCTTGGACGTTCTCAGTCTGATTCATGCCTTCTTTTAGCCAACTATTCATGTATTCACCAGAAGAATTACACCTACTACCTCCGGTGTAGGAAGAAAAAAAAAAAATCAAATGAGCAATAATGTTAGCAGAAGCTTGAAACTTAAGCGCCTGTTTTCAGAAAGGTCCTCCTCCCCACCCCCTTCCCTCCGGTCCAATTCCCTTTTCTGGTTCTGGCCATCGGAAATTGACTTGGCGTTAACTACCGACTGGAATTTCAAGGCGTCAATTCCTCCACCCCCACCCCCAACCTTGGAAACTCTTAAACCTCTTCCTATCCTGCACTCAACGGTAGAAACAGATAAATGATGCAGCAGATTCCACCGCTGAAAGACAACATTTGTCCTGAGCTATTTTCACTTTTTTTTCCCCTCTCCTGTTTCCGATTAGTGTGCCAGACTTCGTTTGCTTGCTTAGGACATGGAAAACATGTTTGGGCATTTCCCCCCCAGTTTTATGCCAGTGGCTTTCTCCCAGCAAATGAAAGTGAAAGTGCTACGTTGTAGTGGTGTTTTATCCTTAAAGTATGGACTGGCTTCTGGTGTGTAGGGGGTGGCGGGCGGGAGGGTGGGACTGGGAAGCTTGAAGAACCAGTTCTGAGGTTTTGTTTGTTTATCTTTAGATCACAGCAAGGTTCCTGTCCTCGCTCCCCCTCCGCCCCCCTCTTTTCTGGGGGTCTGACTTTGGATTTATTTTCTTTTGGGCAGTCATTGAAGTTTCATTCAATGTACCGAATTAAAAAAAATACACTCCACTTGTAGCTTTCCCCGGTTGCACTTTAAAACACCATCCAGTCTCACCCTCATCTGGAAATAATGCAAGCTTCTTTCTCTTCCCCCGCTCCCTCCTCCCCCACTTTTTTTTTCCCTTTCCTTTTAAAGCCCCACATAACCTGAAGTCGGTAATCGGATGGAAAATGTGCTGGTCTTAGTTTACTTTCGTCTATACTCCCTTGCTGGGGCAATATAGCTCGTAGAGATGTCTTTTTGAGAGAGGCATTTTGTGCACATGTGGTTACGGAGTCTTGAAATCTGTCACTGATGTGAACTTGCTGTAAGTGTCTTCAAAGGTACTGTTTATGTGCAATTTTTAGTATTTTTGTTGTGTGGATTTAAACATACAAGGAAGAGGACACCAGAGAGCCTAACAGTGACATGAGTTCGTCTCTAAAGTCATTCATCCTCTCCCTCCCCCTTCCTTTTTCCAAGAAACAACTAATCACAAACCAGGCTAGAATTTCTAAAAGAGGTTAGAGGAGGAGGAGGAAAAGAGGCGGAGTGGGGTAGGGGATTGAGGTTAGAAGGGCCAGGGTTTCTCTCATTCACAGGGTGGAAAAGTTGACATTGTCTAAGCCCTTCTGAATGGCTGGTAGTTGGTTACCCCGATTGTACCTCTACCTCCCCTCCCCCTCCACGTGACGGCCCAGGACACATGCGCACCCGACGCCGGCACATCTGCACACTGACGTCAGTGCTCTGCCTCCGAGGAAAAGCTGCCAATATTCTGCTGCAATTCAAAGTTGGCTGGGGGCCGGTAGTGAGACCTACTTCAACAAAACTTTGCTCCTCTTGTCTTCTTTTCTCCTGATACCTTTTGATGCTCTTCACATGTTATTTGCATAGCAAAGGCACTAAGCTGTCCAGGAAGAAAGGGCACCCTTTCCACCCCCAATAAGTCTTTTTTTCTCCCTTCCTTTCTTTTTCCCTTTCCTTTCTTTTTTTTTTTTCTTTCTCTCTCTCTCCTTTTTTTTTTTTTGGCCGGGTGGGGGGCGCGTGCGGGAGAAAAAGGGGGTTTGCAAAGGCAGCATCTCAGGATGATAACCTGGTTGTATTGAAGGCATCTCTTTTTCTGCCAAATCGCAAAGTCCGTTCTCTAAAACCCGGGTTAGCCAGACTATAGGGTTTTATTCTGGCTGCAGAATAACTAACTGACTGCTGTGGCTTTGCAAAGGGGGGCAGAAAAAAAAAAGTTAAGAGAGGAGAAGGGAGTACGTGAGTCGTCCAGTGCAATCTCTATTGTTTGAAACTTACTTTTTATCAGAATTTGAAGATGAAAACGGTAAGGAAGACTTCACAATATTCAATGAAACCTTTTTTTTTTTTTAAAATTAAAGCGTGTGGTTTGCTTGTCTTCCGAATAACGGGTAGAAAACCTTTTTCTCTCTCTCGCTCTGTGTGTGTGTGTGTGTGTATGTGTGTGTGTGTATGTGTGTGTGTGTATGTGTGTATGTGTTTTAATGGCAATGAGTGAGCTTAACTGAACTCATTTTACAGATAGAAATCTTTTTAACTCCAGACTACTCGGGGGTTGGAGAATTCTGGGTCTTGCAAGTATTTTATGATGCAAAAATATATACGTTTATTATAAGAATAGAATATGTTTTGTGAAATATGATTTAATTATAATTATTGTGGTCTTTTAACTCATCACCAAATAGTAATCAGGAAAGTAATAATGATGTGTATTTAAACTGATTTCCAGTTTTCTTAAAGAAAAACCTGCATTTTATGGTTTCATGTCAGTGTCTTAAGTAGCCAGACAAGTGCATAGTTTATGCCTGGGCTCAGAGGGCAGAATTAATGTGCTAGCTGGAGCCCCGATGCTCTAGGATATGTTAAGCTCTTAATAGGCTAATCAAAGAGATGGAAGCGTGTGTTTTTGATTTACTTTTGGCCACTTGGGACGTGCTAGACTCATATCCCTCCGGAGCCTTGAATATCGGGGTATGTCTGTTTATATGGTACATGGGATCAAAGTTTAGGGATTTGGGGGGGGGGTGAGTGCTGGAGGGGTTATTGGAAAGCTGCCTTCTGATAATGTGTACTATAATTCCTGTCTTTAGTAATTTCTTTCCTTGTTGTACTAGAAGAAAAGAGAGCGAGAGAGTGAGAAAGCGCACTGAGAGGGAACAAGAGAGTGAGTTTCTTACTCTTGTTTTTATTTGAGCTGCCGGTGCAACGCGTTTGGGCCAAATGCCAACTGTCTGGGTCACACGCGTTTTATCCAAATAGATTTAGCGCTGCTGTCTGGAAATGGGCTGCTGAATGTTAACTTTAGGATCAACTCAACCAGGGCAGCTCAGACTGTTACCCTCTGTCTGGGCGAAGTGGGGTTGGGGGAAGGGGCATGAGGGTGTACAGAACTGGGCGGGGGCGGGGGTGGGGGGGGGAGAGGAAAGGGGAAACTGAACCATTGCTTGGAACTTTTAGATTTGGATTGGTGGTTTGGATTTTTGAAGAAAGACACTGGAGTGTGATTTTCAGCATATTCTTTTATGTTTAAATATCTTGGACTAATTTTCTTTCTTTTGTTTTTCTTTCTCTTTTTAGCTTATGTTGATTAGACTCAAACTTAGGTGTGGGAATGACAGGTCTCCAAATTCATGCAGGGAAGGAAATGCAAAATAAAACTGGTGTAGTTGAAGGAAATTGAGAAAATTAATTTTGGAGATAATTGTTTTCCTGTGTTTAATCAAAGTGGTAACAGCAATTCTGGCTTATATTAATTTAGTGCTTAAATGTGATCATTGGTGTTTTGGATTTTTTGAAGAATAGTGTATAGAAGCAAATAGTTGGTTTCAAACAAATCAAATTCATTCATTTGCCACAAATGGCAGCCAATGAAATCTATGTTTTGATATTAATATTTTTATGATTCTCAAGGGGAAAAAAATCTCTAACCTCAAAACCTGAAATATTTTAATACTTACCCTGTCTGGGCCAATATGTGTGAGATTAATTCCTATTCTTGTCTACTCTTACCACTTCCTCTTTATTTCCTTAGCAACCACTAGTAGCTACTAGTGGTTTAGGATGGGTATATATGCCAAATCTTATCCTATGTGTGACTTTTGTGAGTGAATAAAGAGAGTTCATATGTTAGGAGAGTACATGGCACATTAGTGGAACATTTCTGGGGGGAAGAAGAAAATGGGCAAGAGGTTGGTTGCTCTCTTGGTTATACCAAAGGACATAGTTGATTATCAACACTTTGAGTTAACCTCAAGAGAAAAAGGTGTTTGTTTTCAGGAGAGAAGTTATAACAGATAATGTATATCCAACTTGACATTTGGAAAAAAAAGTAATTTGGGACATTACATAATTTAGGGCCTGCTTTGGGTAGACTGATGTTTTGTATTTTTGCTTTTGGATCGTTTACTTTTCTTGATAGATACATCTTGATTATACCTTTCCTTGGAAACCAATCTTACAAAGTTGATAAATGACCTGGAAACCTTTGTACTTATAGGCTAGTGGTGTCCTTGGCATATAGTATATGACAATAAATATTTCTTGAGAGACTAAATGGAAAATGAAATGTTAATTTTCACATGTAAAAACTGAACACCTGAAGGGAGCACAGTATTGCTACTTCCTCTGTGAAGACCAGATCAGTCTTAAAATAAACAACCAGGGTTAAGATGGATGAAAGAAGCTGAGAAGGATGTTATACATGTTCTTTTAGCTCCATAATAATAGTTCAGGAGAGGAAATTATTACCTTGGCTACTCCAGATCACTTGAGTGGGAAGTAAAGATGATAGAGCAAAAAAGACAAGTACCCTCCAACCAGGGCAGACTACTGAGGCAGTTACTGTAGTGCACGTTATCTGCTCTTATTTCTGTTTAGCTAGAGTAGCTTTGATCCATGGATGCAGGTAAATGATCCCTTAACTTCACTGGTTGGTGCATTTGTATTAGGAAAAAAGCATATTTGAAATAAAATAAAATGAAAAGTTTTGAATCTTGTTTTCATATTTAGAGTATTGTAAGCCTGGTTATCATGACCTAAATTCTTTACTGTTCAAAAGACGATACAATGCAGTTGATTGATTCTATCATCATTTCCAACTAGTCCACATTTCTGAGGGAAGGAGGAACATAAAACTATTTTTCAAGGAAGGTCTTTGAAAAGTGATGAGTCAGATAACCAGGAGAAGGGGGGAGGGGCTAATATTTGTTTAGCCATTAAAGTGAAGTGCGAGGACACTTCACATCACATGTAATCTAATTTAATCTCTCAACGAGTCTTTGTTAGGTAGGTACCATTATCACAGTTTTATAGATGAGATAACAGATCCAGAGAGTTTAAATAACTTGGAGTCAAGCCAGGACTCAAAGCCTTTGTGCTTTTCCATGATAATGCTTCTGCTATACAATGTAGAGTTAATGCATTATAATTTCTGGACAATTATGTAATGCTTTAATGTTAGTCTGAATTTTGGAAACTATATCTGTTAGTGTCTCTACATAGTTGTTGGTGATATGCAGATTAACTTCTTCAGCAGGTGTCAGAAAGTAAGTTAACTCATTCATTAAAAAGAAAAATGTTTTTTAACCCGTTTGTTAAAGATTACCCACTTTGTTGATGGAAAAAAAATTCTGTAAGAAACTTGGCACTCTGATATTTATCTGCTAAAATGTTATCATCTGGTATAAAATAATAATTAGTTAAGTAGGGAGCATACCAGGGAAAGGCAAGAAAGGAAACCAAGAGGCTGACAGAGGCCTTATTTCCATAGTTTAGGCCCTAGATTGGTTTTATCCTGAGAATAGCAGGGAGCCCTTGAAGGTTATTGAGCAAGAGAGGGTCACTGTCACTTTGGTGGCTATTGTTAGGGAAGGAAGGATTGCTCAACCCCGGGTCAACCTTTAAACCCTAGCCACCTCCCCTGAGGTTTGTGCCTCCCATGTAGTATTCACAAGTCTTAAGCTGTCAGGGGGGCAAGGGGTTCCCAAAGATCCGGGATCAGAAGTTGAAATGGTTCCTGCTACCCTGTGTCCCCAGCCCTCAGGCCCTAGCCTGAATGCAATTGACCTTGATGAAGCCATCCTCATCCTCATTTTCACTCATCTCTGGACAGATCCCCTTCTTGTCTCTTGTCTCAGGTAGTGGGCAGTGCTGGTAGCTGGTGCGGTATTTTCGGCAGAGGTGGCATTTGGTAGCAAGTGCAATGAGGAGAGAAAGGACCATAGCCACCAGCACAACCCCTATCAGCACAGGCCATGCCGGGCCTGGTGCATGATCCAGGGGGTCGTGGCTGATGCTATCGGGGAGCTCTGAGAGCCCCACAGCTGTTTAGCTTGTCTCACTCATGGAGTGGCTGGAAGACACCTGTGATCCTCAGCCTTGGCAAGAAGAGCCCTGTCTCTAAGGAGATCCCTAGGTACCAGGGCACAGAGTTCTGTTGGAGGACCAGCTAGGGCTAGAGAGTATCTGCAGGTAGAGTACCTAAATCAGAGGAGTACCTGGTAGGAGTATGCAGGTTAAGAAACCCCCCTGATTTGTAGTTTCTTTCCTGCTCCCAGGGATTTGTGGATTTCCTCTCCCAGTCCCCCCTAACCCATCCATTTTTATTGTGAGTTGACTGAATATGGTCAGATATGTTTGTTGTTGATATTAGTTGAGCTTGAGCCAACTCATTTACTTACTATTAATTTTCTTCACTGGCACTGGAGGCTTGAAAAAAAGTGGGGAGCGAGGGCTGGAGTGAATAAAGGAGAGAGAAAAACCAAATTTATTGAGTGTCCATGTGCCAGATAGCTAGTGGTGGAACCAAGACTGTAGCTCTGGTTTGTTTAACCTCAAAGCTTCTGCTCTTTCTGCCATGCACCAATGCCCTTTTCACTACAAATCCTTAAATCCAATGTTAGTCTACTTCTGGCCAAGTAGTTACATATTTTTCCTCTCAATGCTATGGCTTACTTAACTTGGGTGTATACAGGACAGTGTTAGTAATGGTAAAAGTGGAGGTTACAAAACTGTGAAGAGCAGGAGATTTCTCAAGGGGGAAAGGAGTTAACTCTAAGAAATGAGACCAGCTAACTATATTGTTTGTCATTAGTTTGTATAAGTTTGTCATTAGTTTTAGAATCCGAGAAAACAGGAGCAAAAATAATGAATGATTCAGTACAAATCTATCACCACTACTAGAAAACTAATTGAAATGTGTTAGTTATATATTAACACGTTAAAAGAAGATTACTTTTAAAGTGTAGGAGGGATTCATTTAATGTTGGACATTATTATGGAAGCACTCAATTGATCTGAAAAAAAAAAAAGAAAACAAATGAAGAATGGAAGCTGTTAATGAAACAACTGTTATGGAGTTCGAGATTGTATTTAAGTAGGTTGGGAGTCAAGAGAAATGGATTATTTTCATTACTGATATTGAATAATGGTGTGACTTAATCTCTTTATAGATGTTTGCCTAAGAAAGGCTATGTTGTGCCTGCTGCCTTGCCTAAATCACTGTAGAAGTACATAATTTTGAAATGAGACAATTGTGTATAAGGTTGCTTAAAACTGTTCACGTTAATTAACCTATACCATTTATGAATATCTTATTTGATACTGGTTGTATGCAACTGCTATTGAATATTTAAGTTAGGGTGCCTTAAACTGGAAGTGTGATGTAATAGAAAGAATTTAGACTTTAGATCCAAGTAGCCCAGCGTATGACTCTGGGCTCTGCTTTTCTCTAGCTATATTCTGTGACCACTATGAGCTTCAATTTCTTTATCTGTACATTGCAATTGCTGCAAACAAAAACAACCAACCCCCCCCCTGCCACCCCCCCCCCCCATAAATTTAGTGGCTTAAAATTGCACACATTTATTATCTCAGAGTTTCTGTGGTTCAGGAGTCTGGGCATGGCTGAGCTATACACCTTGTATTCAGGGTATCTCATGAAGCACAATGAAGGTGTTGGCAAGGACTGGGGTTACCACAGAAGGCTCAACCGGGAAGGATCTGCTTCTAAGCTTACATATTAGCGGGCAGAATTCAGTTTCTTGCAGGCTATTGCACCGAGAGCCTGGTTTCCTTGCCAGTGGTTATCTGAAAGCTGCTCTCAGTTCCTTGCCATGGGAGCCGCTCCATATGGCAGCTTGCTTCATCAATTCAACAAGGGAGAGAGCCTACCAGTAAGGTGGAAGTTAGAATCTTGTGTAATCGAATCATGGAAGTGACATCCCCTCCACATTGAGGTCTTCAAGCGGTTAGGAGCAAATTACTCGTGGGAAGGGCGTTACACAAAGGCGTGGATATCAGGAAGCACTATTATTGGAGTGTGCCTCACACAGGGACACTAATCCTCCTGCATAAGATTGTTGTGAATATTCAGAGAAGTGTAATATATTAAAAATTCTCCTTATTTTTGATCTGACCTTAAACTACTTTTCTAGATGTTACCTATTAGTCTTCTGCATAAGAATCAAACTTACTATTATTATTAATACTATTTTCCATTTTTGTCTTACCATTTGGACTCTGTGGAATCTATTTCTTTATAGTGATTGCCCCCAGCAATTTGACTTGTGAAATTCTGTTCATCTTCTAGGACCTATCTCAAAGGCTACTTTTTAAATAAATTTTCCTTGACTCATCTTTCTCTGATTCAGAAGTCATCTCCCTCATCTGATTTGTAACACCTTTTCATAACTGCGTTAGGGCATATGTCAATCTGCCTTGAATTTTTTCTTTGTTACTTAGATTATAAGCAATGATTCTGTCTTAATCTTTTCAAAGGAAAAGATTATAACATCCTTTTGAAAATATAATAAGACAATATTTGTTGATTAATGAATTAGTTTTTCCAAAGTTTAGCAGTTTAATAACTTGTAGAGACAGACACAAAGAATTTTAAATGGTTGTGATTGTTTTATATGTTATAAAGCCAATATTTCTAGCATCCTAGGAAATAAAGTATTGCACATAATTTTCCAATGAACTACAAATATCCTTTTATATGCCTAAAGTGATTGTAACAACCATTTATTTATTCATTCATTTTTTTAACCAACAAATATGTTACCATTTATTATGATAAGCCCGTATATTAGAGACCTAAGATGAAAATCTCTAACATCTTTTGTGTATTTCTCTATATTTATAGTAAGCTATATTTTTAAACATTTTTTTAATATATTTTATTGATTTTTTTACAGAGAGGAAGGGAGAGAGATAGAGAGTTAGAAACATTGATGAGAGAAAAACATCGATCAGCTGCCTCCTGCACATCTCCTACTGGGGATGTGCCCACAACCCAGGTACATGCCCTTGACCGGAATCGAACCTGGGACCTTTCAGTCCACAGGCCGACGCTCTATCCACTGAGCCAAACCGGTTTCGGCAGTAAGCTATATTTTTTAAAAAATATATGTTTTTATTGATTTTAGAGAGGATGGGAGCTCGATCCACACTGGGGATCAAGCCTGCAACCCAGGCATATGCCCTGATGGGGAATTGAACCTTGACTTCCTGGTTCATAGGTCAACACTTAACCACTGAACCACACTAGCCAGGCTGTAGGAAGCTATCTTATTAAGAGCAATTTAACCTTTTGCTCCTAGCTCAGGCATAGTATTTTGAGTATCAGACACTGACTGTCACACAGTTATATGCGCAGTTGTAACTGTTAAACCATGTAAGTGAGGACTGCTTGCTTCTGCACCAAACTGTATTGATTTGGAGTACTAAAACTACTTTTTAGTTTTTTATCCTTTTTTGGTCACTATTGTGCTGTTAGTGAGATAGTTTCCGGTTCCTTTGTTGGGAAATCAGTTTTCTGTATAAAAATGTAAATTCATGGACTCTGAGTGAAGTTATAAGTTGAAGAGAAAGTCCATGAGATAAGACATGAAATCTGTTGAGATACCTGAAATGAATTTTTAAAAATTATTTTCTTTTCAGAAAATGAATTTCGTTTCCTTTCAGTTAGATTCTAGGTAGTTGACGTTGGCTTGTATGTGTTGCCTTATAAGTCATACAAGACTTCCAGATAAAGTCAAGGGTTGCAGCAAATATGGTTAAACTTTTCAGAAGTTTAGTTTATGTTATTGTCTGAGCATTCAGACAGCGGCTAAATGTCACCGTGTGTTTGTAAATCTAGTCTGTAAGAAAAGAAGGATAGGTGCCTCATAAAGCACACATCAATCTGTGGATTTGAGTGTTATAAAAAGCATGTAAAGGGATGGGATCACATCCTGTTTAACATTTTCATAAAATGAACTTTGATTGTGAAGTCAGCCTACTTTTTATTTTTATCAAAAGGAGGTTAGTCACTGTACCCATACATTGTTATCTTCAAAGTATTTTTTTAAAAGAATTTTTATTTCTCTTCAGATTTGTTCTTTGATTATTAAATAGCTTTGACATTATCCTGCTAAACATTTTGGTTTCTAACTCTGTGTTTAGTCTTGTGAATTTTATTTAGACTATAAAGAACAACAATGGCCTAATTTAACTATATTAAGTTATTTCATAATACATGTCCTTTGGCAAGCATTCGGCAATATAGATCTGTCTGTTCAGGGTATTTTTCAGTTAACTTAAAATTTTCCTGTTTTTCTATGTTAAAAAATGGCCATACTTTAGTAACTAATCAGCCTAATGCTTTTGCTTGTGAACATTTTACCATCATTAATTTTTCATTTTGGATTGAGAAAATGAATCCAGATATAGAAGAAAGTACAGGATGTTGGGAAAAAGTACCTGTTAAACAGTGGATCATCTAATAACTAATTTGCTATGGTATTGACTCTCTAGCACATAGGTAACCCTCCAAAAAATCATCCAGTTTGCTAAATTATGGAAATTTTGTGGAAGACGTTGACCTGGATTTTGAGCCTCATCATGGCTTCATCGGAATTTCATAGTGACCACCGGCTCTCATACAGTTCACAAGGTAGGATTCCTGCTTTTGAAACTGACAAAAAATATTGCTATTAATCAACTACAGTCCTGCGCTCTACCAGCTGAACTATTGAAGGAACTGAATATTTAGTTTGGGTGAACATTTTCTTTGGGATATGTAGTGATAGGAGCAGAGGCCTACAGTGTCAGTTCAGTGCACATTTCATAAATGTTAAGGCCTCTGAAAGTCTGTTTAACTTGTTTCACTGGTATTTAATATCCAGTGGATTTTAGAGTTGACTGGTCTTTTTCAAAAGATATAGACCAGGCATCTTCTTCTGAATCTGAAACATTGATAGGTTCATTCATTGCTAGAGTATACAGGTAAAGTCATGTTCAAATGGAACCCAAAGGTTTATACTATGAAAGAGCAAGAAACTAGACACATCCTATATAATAAAAGGCTACTATGCAAATTGACCAAAGGGCAGAACAACCGGTTGCTATGACGTGCACTGACCACCAGGGGGCAGCCGCTCAACACAGGAGCTATCCCCTGGTAGTCCGTGTGCTCCCACAGGGGGAGCGCCACTCAGCCAGAAGCTGGGCTCATGGCTGGCAAGTGCAGCGGCGGTGGTGGGAGCCTCTCCCGCTTCCGAGGCAGCGCTAAGCAGTCAGTGGGACATCCCCCAAGGACTCCTGGACTGCGAAAGGGCTCAGGCCAGACTGAGGGACCCCCCCACCCCCCGCCTCGAGTGCATGATTTTCGTGCACTGGGCCTCTAGTTCTGATATGAGATTTTTAAAATATGGACCCTTAGTGAAAAAGTGCTTTTTCTAACTTAAGAATTCTGATCTAAGATCTAGAACCTGGGTAAGAAGGTAGAGCCCTATGATTTTCATTCATAGAATTGAACTTTGTATCATAGGAAATATCTTAACAGAAAGATCCCAGGAAGAAATGTCATTTTGTTTTCCATGAGCCAGTCCAATCCTTATAGAATTAGAAAGAGCAGACCTTTTGTAATCCCCTTCCATGAATGTATAGTAACAGATCATTTTTTTTGGTGCTGAGAAACCAGATTTTCAAGGCTATTATAGATTGATGTCTAGAAATCCATACATACAAAATGTGGATCTCAAAGTAGATCAATAAAGCCATAGCATTTGGTATGAACTCTTATTCATGAGAAATAAAATAAATATTATCTTTCAAATTATTTCCATTTGGTCATGGTTTCATGGGAGTTTATATTTGTGAGTGAGCTCCATGTAGAGACAGTAAGGCATCAGGCAGCCATTTGGTTTTCCTTGGTAGTAAACCCCGCTAAAGAAAGATGTAGTTAAGAAGGTAGATTGGTAATGTTTAGTACACCTAAGTGAGGAAAATATGATTTAATAGTCCTCTGAATTTTTTGTCATTCTGATACCTTTTAAAACACCTTTAGTGAGATATAATAGGTATACCATATAATTTACCCATTTACAGTATACAATTCAAATGGTTTACAGTATATTCACAGAGTTGTATAACCATAACTACAATCAATTTTAGAACATTTTCATCATCCTAAAAAGAAACCTATACCCATTAATAGTCACTCATAAATTCCCTCTAAACCATTCTACACCCCTAGCCCTAGGCAACCTCTAATCTACTTCTGTCTCTAGAGATTTGCCTATTCTGGATATTTCCATATAAGTGAAATCATATAACATATAATCTTTTGTGACTGGTTTCTTTCACTTAGCATATTTTTATAATGTTAGATAATGAACTTTAATTATGAAGGCAGTTATTATGAAGATCTGTTCATGTCATAGCATGTATCAGCACTGTATCCCCTTATTGCAGAATAATATCTCATTATGTAAGTGAATATACTACATTTTACTCATTTATTCATCATTTGATGGGCATTTGGGTTATTTCTTCCTTTTGGCTATTATGGACAATGCTGCCATAAACATTCATGTACAAGTTTTGTGTGGATATGTGTTTTCATTTTTCTGGGTGTATACCTAGCAGTGGAATTGTTGGGTCAGATGGTAGTTCCATGTTTAATTTTGGAGGAATTGCCAGACTGTTTCACAAAGTGGCTAGCTGATAATTTTTTTTTAAAAAAATGTCTTCAAGGCTGTTGAGATTCTTTATAAACTCTTTGGATAACTTTCACAAACATTTTATGTGAGCTAAATTCTATTCTTTTACATATGTGTGTTTTTCACTGTTTTAACTTTCAATATAAAATATTCATATTTCCTGTGTAATTTCCCCTTAGAATTCATGTTTTTCAAAATTAAATTGTAAAAATAAAAATAGTCTTTTAAAATAATGTTATTTTGAGGAATTAAATAATTGAAACTTAATTCATCTTTAGATTTGAAACTTTTACTCTTTTATTTTTGTATACTATAACATTTTTTTCCATAACTCACCCATGATGGTTCATAGTTTTAGCTGATATGGTTGTTATTTACACTGCTACTTTGTTGTTCTGTTAAATTATCTTTTCTTCCGTGTGTTTTTTTTCTGGATACTCTGCTTTATGATTACGAAGAGGAATTCCTGACTTACCTAGAACACTACCAGCTAACTATTCCAATAAGGGTTGACCAAAATGGAGCTTTCCTCAGCTTTACTGTGAAAAATGATAAACACTCGAGGAGAAGACGGAGTATGGACCCTATCGATCCACAGCAGGCAGCATCTAAGTTATTTTTTAAACTTTCAGCCTATGGCAAGCACTTTCACCTAAACTTGACTCTCAACACGGATTTTGTGTCCAAACATTTTACCGTAGAATACTGGGGGAAAGATGGGCCTCAGTGGAAACATGATTTTTTAGACAACTGTCACTACACAGGATACTTGGAAGATCAACATAGTACAACCAAAGTGGCTTTAAGCAACTGTATTGGGTTGGTAAGTAGATGTTATAATTTTAAATTTCTTATGGGGATATAAAGTCTCAATGTAAATGTCTTTCCTCAGATTAATAAATATGTATATACAACATCTAAATATTTTTGTTATTTCTGCTGCCTTTGCTTTTGATAGTCTTTTTGATAATATCTGTATTGATTTTTCAAAGTCAGAGCAACATTAAAAACCCTATATTGTTAGTAGAAAAATGAATGAAACCTCAGGTTTAATTTTAGATTTAAGTTTTTTTTCTGTTCAAATAAGATATCTTTTATGCATAAACAAAACCCAATCATTGGTGAAGAGTTTAAGGTTATGTGTGCATGTATGTGCGTGTATTATTTCAGGAAACTACGACACTGATTGCCTCTTTAGGTTTCTTTCTATAATGTCTTTCTCTGGTTGTCAGCATAGCTTAATTATGTGTGACCTACTTATGGTTATAAATTCTTTAAAAATTTTTTTTAAAAAATTGATTTTAGAGAGGAGGGAGAGAGAGAAAGAGAGAGAGAGAGAGAGAGAGAGAGAGAGAGAGAGAGAGAGAACATCGATGTGAAAGATTGCCTTTGATTGTTTGCTTTCCTGTACATGCCCTGATCAGGGAGCAAACCCAAAATGTGGGCATGTGCCCTGACCAGGAATCTAACCCGCCATCCTTCAGTGTATGGGACAAATGCTCCAATTAAGTGAACCAGACTGGCGAGGGTGGTTATAAATTCTTGAAGCAAAATCTTTTATACCAATATCTCTTTATTAAATAAAATTTTGCTGCATTTATCTGAAGATTGATTATAAATCTTATTTTACTTAGATTTCAAGAGTGTAGGGTCTATCCTGGGCATTTGAGTCCATTCTAGTCTAATGGTAAATACACAGTTCAAGGTTGCAAAACAAAGCATATTCCCATATTTCCACTACTGCTTTTATCATATTCAGGCTAATGTAGATGTTCCATTAAAGCTCTATTTGTGTAAAAGCACAATTTTTTTTTTTTTTTTTGGCTGCAAAAAGCTTTATTATTTCCATTTGGTCCAGTGCATGGGAAAGGGCTCCAGGGTGGTTAAAAGGGTGGCTAGTGGTTTCAGGGAGAGGCTCAGGCAAAAGCCAGACACCAGGGGATGCAGAGGGGCCCCTCAAAGGACTCTGGGCTCTAAAGGCTCCCAGCGGTGCCTGAGGGTGAGCCTTTCGAAAAGATACCCGCCCAGCCCAGACTGCGGATGTGAGTCAGGTGGTTGCCCATCTTCTTGATGAGCTTCATCCTCACCCCGGAAGTGGTTCTGCAGGAAGTCACAGAGAGGAGGGTCTGCGCAGGTAGAACCCAGGGCCTGCAGCTCCTGAAGGACCTGGTTCAGGTTCCTCTCCAAGACCAGGGCGGCTTCCATGGCGTCCTGAGTTTTGTTCCACTCATCTTTGTCGGCTTCAGCACGTCCTGGAAAAAAACTCGGCCACGGAGCTGGTTTTGCGAAAGGGGCCCCGCCCTTCAGAGCCACATGGTGGTCGAAATAGAAGCCCAGAGAGAGGTAGGTGTGGGAGGCCTGAAGGTGCAGGTTGGCCAAGTGGCTGAGGGCAGTCTCCATCTGGGTGGAATAATTCTGACGAATTTGGGAGCTCACGTTGTTCGGCAATAAGGAGTTTAGGTTAAAAAACGGCATTGGCTGGTCTCAGAGGCTGAGAGGATGGCCTGAGTTGGTTCCGAAGGTGGTGAGTGGTGCGAGGCTGGAAGAAGGGGTGTCCCTGGGTCTGTTCCATCCAAACACTGTTGAAGCAAGAGACGGATATGAGGGATCTGCCAAGAGCACAAACTTTTTTTTTTTTTTTTAAATCCTCAACCAAGGATATTTTTTCTCCGTTGATTTTTAGAGAGTGGAGGGAAGTGGGAGAGACAGAGAGAAACACCGATGTGTGAGAGACACATTGATTGGTTGCCTCCCACAAGCCCCCTGACCAGGGCTGGGAGCCTGCAACTGAGGTGCTTGCCCTTGACCGGAATTAAACCCGAGACCCTTCAGTCTGCAGGCTGACACTCTATCCACTGAGCCAAACTGTCTAGGCAAGAGCACAAACATTTTGATGCTCAAGTCATACTTTCAGAAACTGTTTTTTTCTATATTCTATCACATTCATATTCTTATTCCTAGGTTAATATAAAAAATACATAATTAAAGTTGGAGTTAAGTCCTAAATTTGAAAGGAGTATTAGGAACCACACAGTTTAGGAAAATTTTCATTATAAGTATAAATAAGAATTTGCTCAGATTGTCTATTTTCTATAGTTGTTAGTGGGTCAAAATGATTAGATTTTAAGATTTGGGGTTAATTCCTATAAATAGAAACATTGAGTACTTTTATCACTAGTTTCTCTGTATACAGTGTTAGGCTTTATATACACAATAGATTTATCTTTTTGAATAAAAATAAATTATTCAAAGTAGATATGTGTTTTAAAAGCTTTCATATGTTTAAATGACATTTGCTGTTAAATATGATAGAAAAGTACCATTCTCAGTCATTGATCAAGCCCTCTAAATTTGGCATTAACATTAATTATGCCATTGATAGTTTTAACAGGGTGGTGAAAGGAACAAATTTGAGATTTAGAAAGAAACACACACTAATTCCATTGTGAAATTTGAGGGGACAGGAGTGATTGGAGGTGTGAAGGTGAGTTAGAACATTTAGGAGATAATGAAGGCCTTTACAAAATTATGGCACTGAGAATGGAGAAGATAAAATAAATTTGAAGATAAAATAAATTTGGTGAGAAAATTTAGAGGATTTGTATTTTATTAAATTTTTCTTCCCTAGCATCTAATAAGACCATATATTAGATGGTAGATATTTTATAATATTTTAGGAAGTTGAAATAGAGAGAGAAAGGGAGAGAGAAATATTGATCAGTCCCTACTGTATGTACCCTGATCTGGATCGAATCCAAAACCTGACTGAGAATTGAACCTTCGACCTTTTGGTGCACGGGATGCACCAACAAACTGAGCCACACCAGCCAGGGCCACCTGATTATACTTCATCCTCATTGAGACTTTCTGTCTCTTGTTCTCGTTCCCTCTCTTTATTAACACCTTTCTTTTTTACTTTGCTTCCTATTGAAACTGCATGGTCTATGTTGACTAACTTTGATTACTTGATTAAGGTGAGGTCTGCCATGTTTGTCCACTGAAGTTACTGTTTACCTCTTGGCAGCTGATAAGGAATTTGTGAACAGATACTGGGGGACTATGTAAATATCCTATTCCTCATCACACTTTTACCCACCAGTCTTAGTAATCCTTGTCTTCATTCTTATTTTGTATCATGTTATATTTTTAATCAAATGAATATGTGTAGAAGTTTTTTTTTTAAAAAATCCTACTTTTTTTCTAGCAGGTTTTGCTCAGTGGATAGAGCGTCAGCCTCTGGACTGAAGGGTCCTGGGTTTGATTCTGGTCTAGGGTATGTGCCAGGGTTGTGGGCTTGATCCCCAGTAGGGGGCATGCAGGAAGCAGCCCATCAGTGATTCTCTTTCTTTCTTTTTTTTTTTAAATATATTTTATTGATTTTTTACAGAGAGAAAGGGAGAGGGATAGAGAGCTAGAAACATCGATGAGAGAGAAACATCGATCAGCTGCCTCCTGCACACCCCCCACTGGGGATGTGCCCGCAAACAAGAATAAAACCTGACCGGAATCGAACCCGGGACCTCAGTGATTCTCTTTCATCATTGATGTTTCTATCTCTCTCTCCCTTCCTCTCTGAAATCAATAAAAATATAGTAAAAACAAAAAAAGCCTACTTTTCAAAGGCCCCTTGTAACCAATTCTGTTTTTAACTGTTTATAAAAAATAGTTTTCAATGTAGAGATCAATAGTGTTTGTTTCTAATCATATTTCCTTATCCATAGTTTGTGTTACAGCCCTTGTACCATTCAAAAGAAAAGATTTCTAACATTATAGTCTATCAGCTGTTTTAAGTAATGTCACAGTTTAGGACTACGGCTTTCTTATCTAGGTCTTGTTTTTCTGAAGTTTCTATTTTTTTTGTCTTATTGAGGAAAAAAAATATATGATTGTTTTAACACAGTGATTAATATTCAGTTTTTTAGTTCTTATATCTATTGTGTGATATACAGGGTGGGTTAAAAGTAGGTTTACAGTTGTAAGTACACAAAACACAGAGTTTATTCTTGTATTTAATTATTGTATTATTTTCCATACAAACAACTGTAAGCCTACTTTTGCCCTACCCTGTATATTTCATTCTTCTTTGGAAATACTTTTCTTGGAGTTTACTGGTTACTTAATTTTTTGAGTTACTACACATCTCTCATCTTGGGATTTATTTTTTTCTAGGCTAGTAACACATCTTCCTCTTTCTGTGTTTACATTCTGGTTTTGTTAGAGAACATCTTCAAGTAGTTACCTCAAAAAAGGTGCCTGGGAAGTAAAATTTCGGAGTCCTTGCCTATTTGAAAGTGACTTTATGTTGTCCTCATGTTTGGTTAATAAATTTAGCTGAATGTGAGAGTCTAAGTTCAAAATCATTTTCCTTCAGAACCATGGATGGTGTAATCAGGAAAGGGAAATATGGGGCATTAAATTTATTTATATGGTTTTATATCTTAGGAAAAGACTTAAAGATCTAAAAAACGACATTGGTTCATTTTGGGTGGCATACATATACTTGTTTTTTTTTTTTCTTAAAATTTTTTCTTCAGTGAAAGTGATCTTTTCCTTCCTGTTTCAAGAATTTTATAATCATGTGGTAAGCTGTGGGTCTTCTTTCCTGATCTCTCCTTGGTGTTTGATGGGTGCTTTCAATTTAAAGGCCTTCTTCTAGGTTAGAGAAATTAAAAAATGTTTTCTTAAAAATTTTCTTTTCTTGTTTCTCTCCTTACCCTTCTGTGATTGGTTTTCTGCTTCTCTTATCTCTCTTTTTCATCTTTTTTCTCTTTTGTTCAATGAGATTTTCCCAATTTTGCATTCTTTTTTTCCCCTTTAATTGATTTAAAAATTACAGCAGTCATATTTCTAATTTTCAAGAAGGCTTCCTGTCTTGGTTGTTCCTTTCTTTATATATTGTGTTTGTTTCATGAAACATGATTTTCTTTCATCTCTCTGAAGATACTGAAGACTATATAGCTAGTTAGAAAAGACCAGTGACCCCAGTAGACTTTCTATTCATTTTGTTATAGCCACAGTTGCCTTTCTACTTTTTCCATTACTCATTTATCTATTCATGAAATACTTATAAATACCTGTCATTTAATAGGCACTGCTCTAGGTGCTATGAGTACAACAGTGAACAAAACAAAAGTCCCTATCATCATTTAACTTGCATTCTAATGGAGTATACACAATAAGATAAATAAAAAAAAATCATAGTGTGCTGTGTAATGGTAAGTTCTGAGGTGGAAAAATATTGAGTAAAAACATTAAGGGAGTCTGGCCAGTGTGCTCAGTGGTTGAGCATCAACCTATGAACCAGAAGGTCACGGTTCAATTCCCCATCAGGGCACATGCCAGGGTTGCAGGCTCGATCCCCAGTGGGGGATGTGTAGGAGGCATCCAATCAATGATTCCCTCTCATCATTGATGTTTCTATCTCTCTCTCCCTCTCCCTTCCTCTCTGAAATCAACAAAAATATATTTAAAAAAAACTTTAAGGGAAATGAGGAAGGGAATGCTGACATCTTAGGGATAATTTTTCCAGGTGTACAAAGGTCTGATCTTAGAGTGTTGAGGAAAAGCAAGAATACCGTGGCCAGAGCTAAGTGAAAGAGAGGAAGAATAATGGAAGGTGAAGTTAGAAAGGGAACTGGAGGCCAGATGTTAGATTTTAGAGGACACAACTAGGGTAAAATTAATGATAACTCCAAGCTTGAGGCCTGAACAACTGGAAAAATATAGCAGTCATCAAATGGCATGAGAAAGACTCAGGCATTAATTGAGACGGAAAAGTTATAGAAAGAATAGTTTGGGGGTTGGTACATATCAGAAGTTCAGTTGAACACGTTAAATTTGAGAAGTTATATTGCATATTGGATATGCAGAAGAGAGATGTGAATTTGAACTTACAAATTTGGGAGTCATCAATATATAGATGACAGAGACAGGAGATTACATGGAATTGCTTAGGTGGGGAGAATAGATAGAATAAAGGAGAGGTTTAAGGGCTGAATCTTTGGGTACTCCAATGGGTTAAGGAGGTCAGAAAGATAAGGAGGAGACCAGCAAAGAACAGTAGAATAAGAAATTGAAGGACAACCAGATAAATATTCTAGAAGCCAAGTAAGAAAGTATTTCAAGAGAAAAATGTCAAAATAAGAGTAGGACCGAAAACTAACCACTGAATTTATCAATGAGGAGGTTGTTGGTGACTTTGACTAAAGCAGTTATGGTGAAGTCATGGTGGGGTTTGGAAAAGAGGCAAAAACCTGTTGGCAAAGGTTTAAGAAGGAATGGGAGAAAGGACTATACAGATAATGATTTTAGAAAAGCAAGCAATGTCAGTTGCTGCAGGCACAAGTTGGGGTGAGAGGTTTTGTTTTGTTTTGTTTTGTTTGATAGGAATGATTATAGAGAGAAGGGAAGTTTCTGAAGTGATGTTCTTGATAGATACAGAAGGGATGGACTCATCTGCATAAATACAATAATTGTCCGTAGCTAGGAGAACATGCAGCTCATCCATAATAACAGGATATAAAATAGATTATATGGATGAGATTCAGGTAGGTGGGGTGTTTGTTGTTGTAGGACTTTGCAGGAGGTTGTGCCATGTTTATTGGAACAGGAGATGGAAAAATGAGGTGTTAGGATATTAAGAAGAGAGGAGAAAGTATGAAATATTTACCCAGAAGAGCAGCATACTGAATAAATCAGAGAAACATAGTATAATTGCCATGAAGCGTTAAGGACACAGATGAAATTATGATGATGAAATTCAAGTGAGACCAGCTGGCATCTTGGTGTACTTTCCTCTGGCTAAATGAAGCTGCAAGGTTATAGGCCCAGAGTAGCAAAGTTGAATTTAATCTGCAACTTGCCATAGTCTCAATTTCAAGGGTTCCATTCTTCTATCTTTCCAGTACTGTCTCTAGTATCTCAACTCTAAGAGACAGCCCTTTTATGCCCAACATGACCCACTAATCCTTTTCATTGTCCACCCAATCCATGTCTTCACTTCCCTCCAAACCCACCTTCAATTCCCTTCATGGAATTTATTTGACTAAACTACAACACTGATCACTTTACTCACATTTCTGTTCCAATGTCACCTTATTGGACAGGATGACTCTGACCATCCTAAATAGTTTGTGTAATTCCCTCACTTCTAATTACTTTCTATTCTCTTACACTGCTTTATTTTTCGTGTTAACATTTATCACTACCTGATTGATCATTTATTTATCTAATGAATGAATTCCTTTTTTTTTCTAGCTCCTCCCACCAGAATGTAAGCTCCATGATAGAGTTGGAACTTTGTTTTGTTCATTATTGTATCCCCACCATCTAGAACAGTACCTGCCCTATCATAGGCATTCGAACATAGTTGGTGAATGAATAAAGTCACAAACCACCCTCAGAGGATAAGGGAATTATAGTACAGTGGCTAAGAGTCCAGCTCCAAAGTCTATCAAGTGAGTTTGTTACTTAACTTTGCTCAGTCTCCGCTTGTCATCTGCACAGAGGAACTGAGAGTAGTACTTACTTCAAAGAGCTATTAAGATGAAATGTAAAAAATAACAATGATGAAATGAGATGATATGTGTGAACATCTTACAGAGTACTTAACACACAAAATCTCTGGATTTTCTTCTGGAGTCTTTCCATTCTTGAAATTAGAGATTGTATCTGCTTACAAGGCTTGTGACTCTATTTTCCCAGCAACCTGAGATTCTTGGCTTGAGTGACTTGCCCACAGTCTAGGATGACTTTAGTACTCTAGACCCCACTTTCTACCTTTCAGGGCAGTACTCTAGACCCCACTTTCTACCCTGTCCTCTTACCAAGACTTCTCATGCATCCCCTCCTTCCTGTAGGAACCGTGTTCAGTTTACTGTCACACTGCTAACCTTCCTGGTAAAGTAATTCATGCTCAGGTATTAGCGTTTGTTAATGTCAGATTAGGCTATTCCTGTCAGTATTTGCATTTAATTTAGAGACTAATATTTTTAAAGTAAAGCAGACAATGGTGAAAATAATATGAAGTGACTAAGGGCCGTTTTGTTTTGGTGTTTTTTTTGTTTTTATATTCCTTAGCTCACTTCGTACAGGTGGCTGCCAACTTCATCTCTAAGTTAGAGCAGTTCTGACTATGCCTTATCTTTCTTTCCAAGCATATTATACGCAACATGAATTTCCTTAAACAGAATCATAGAGGCTTAGATTCAAAGGGGCCTCAGAGATTATCAGGACCAGAGGCTTTCAGCTTCTTCCCCTTCTTTTTAAAGAAGCAAAACCCTTTTCTCAAGTGAAATGTTATGTGGAAACTTCATATATAGATGAATAAAAGCACAGCTGATTCCTAAACCCGGGACTCCAAGCTGTGTAGGTCTCTCTTTGTTGTCTGGGGCAGTCCCCTGAGGGCACTTCCATGGAACCCTTAGGGCTCCCCAGAGTGCTGTTTTAAAACCACTAATTTACACCAACCCTTTCATTTTCCAGCTGAGGAAATACCCGGGGAGTTTGTGTTTTATCCAGTGTTACAGGGTAAATTAGTCGGATTAAGAGCAGTCCTCTCATGTGCCACACTTAGGAAAATACTATTAGACAGGGATGGAACGTCTTATTTCTGATGCAGATAACTTTTACTATCTCATTTCTTTTAATTAGCAATTTTTTATTTAGTGTAATACATGTGGGACACTTTCTGTGGCTGTAACTGATACAGAGAAGTAGGAGATAGAACCCTTTGCCTTAAGAAAGCATCTAGTATACTTGGGAAGATAACACATGCAGTTGAAAAGCTATAATACATTGAAACACAGCTCCAGGAGTTGAGATGTAGGAAAGCAGTGTGGAATTAATTAAAAATAAATAAATTAAAAATAAATAATAAGCTCTGTTGGAACTCGGGGGGTGGGGGAAGCTACTCCAGTTGAGCTAGAGAAAGTTTTAAAGAGAAGTGACTGAGCTGAGTAGGACTTGGCTCAATAACTAGGTGTAAGGCAATTAATACTGTGAATAAGAGCAGAATTTTGTGTGTTTTCCAGCTCCTTCACTTGCCTCTGTATAATACTGAGCAAGTTCTTAACCTTTGAGCCTGTTACTTCATTGGCAAAACAGTGATATATGGCAGGTATATTAATTAAGGACATACTAATTGGTGAAACCTAAACCTTAAAATGTCAGTTATCACAATAAAAGTTTATTTCTCCTTTGTATCAGCGTCTATGTTCAACAGCTTTCCATGAGGTCCTTCAGGGACCCAAGTTTTTTTCTCTTTTGGGTTCCACCTTCCCTAGGTCTTTTTTTTTTTTTTTCTGGACAGAGAGTGGGGAATTCTGCAGGGGAGGTTTTCAGGGGCTTGGCCTGAAGGTCATGTACAACACTGCCCATTTTCTATTGGCCAAGCTGATTTACAAAGTTATACCTAAACACAGAGGAGGTAGTGTGCAAAATTTGGAAAGAAAATAAGTCTTCGTGAGCACATAGAGATCTCTGCGACCTCATAGAGTTGTTAGGAGGATTGGAGGAAATAATGTATGTGTCATGCTTTGTACAGGGCATAACATGTAGAGGTACTTAAACATCCATTTTAAAGGAAAGGAAAATTTATATAATGTTTTGCTGAGTATGGACAATTTACTTAATTTTTATTAACATGTGTTTTAACCTTTTTGGAGAGGTATCCTTTTATTTTTAACTTTTGGTACTGATGATATTCAAATGCTTCTTCTTGGCAAATTCTTTGTTTCTTTTTCTGTTAGCATGGTGTTATTGCAACAGAAGATGAAGAATATTTTATTGAACCATTAAAGAATACCACAGAGGATTCCAAACAGTTTAGTTATGAAAATGGCCATCCCCATGTAATTTACAAAAAGTCTACCCTTCAGCAACGGCATATGTATGATCACTCCCATTGCGGGGTTTCTGGTGAGTGAGCGACATACTGTATTGTGTTGCCATTCTGTTTCTTCTGGCAAGGTTAATAATAATAAGCAAATAATAATTTGAGTAATTAAAATGATAATGTCCAGAGTCCTCTTTAAAAATGTCACCTATCAGTAGTGTTAAGTCAATCTTGGAATCTCTTTGAAATAGAAATCTGTGTAAAATTTTATTACTTTTTCTTTGAAGGGGAAAGAAGCCCACCTTATTTCATCCAGGTAGTAGTTATAGTTCTCATGCACAGGTGTTCCATAGCACTCGGTGCTGTTTGCTTAGCTTGATATTTTTATGCTAGCGACAGGAATCTAGACACTTGAATAAGACTTGAAGAGTTTTAAGGTAGTATTCGAGGATGTAAACGTATATAGAAGGAGCAACACACCTAAACTTCAGTGGCCAAAGAAGGCTTCATGGAAGAAGTGACTTCTAAACTGAGGCCCAAGGGGTAAGACAGGGTAGCTGGCAAAGGTAGAGGGAGCAGTTGGTAGCATTCCATATAGAGGAAACAGCATTTACAAAGTTCTGAATCTGAAGACAGAATGTCATGTTCCAGGAATTGACAGTTCATATAACTGGATATTAGAATGTGGGTTGGAGAAATAGGGGTGAGATTCTTAGTAGTTGGGGGTGTGGTAGTGAGTGATGAAACTCGAGAAATTAGAAGAGGCCAACTCAAATCACAAAGGCCTTATAAACCAGGTTAAGGAGTTTGTTTATCTTAAGTGTGCTGGAAAACCATTGAAAGGTTTTATGCAGTAGGAATCACATGGGCAGATCTGGATTTCATAAAGATTACTCTGGCAGCCATCTAGAGACTGAATTAAAGAAGAGTAAGACTAGAGCTAGGGAATTGGAAGGCTGTTCACTCTAAAGATTAGAAAACTTAGAGAAATAGAGGACATGGCATAGCATAGTAGAAAGAACATGGGCTTTGGTGTAGCTTTGGACAAATTACCCAACCTCTCTCTCTGAGTACTCCTTTTATCACACATTAGTTGCTCAGTTAAATTGTAGCTATCATTATTGGGGTAACTGTTTCTAGCATTAAAAGAAAACACACACACACACACACACACGCATATATGCACACACACACATATATATGACTAGATTTGTTCTTCTGTGTAGTTATAGTAGCTGAAACTAGGGGCATCGTATTTCAAAGGCAGATTTCAGCTTAATGCAGAGAAGAATTCTCCAACAAGTACTTTTAATGAAAAATGGGGTGGGTTCAATACGTAGATTTATAAAAAACGGAGTGGATTGCCTTGCAATTAGTGAATGCATCACCCTTTTGTTTCTTTTGTGTCCTTCATGGGCTCCTTATTTTCTGCTTCAAGTATAAGTGTTCTTTAAAGTTCTTTCCTCAACTGACTGTTCTTATTCTGCATTCTCTCTTCTTGAGTAATCTCTGAGGCTTTTAATTATGGGAGGTCCTTTGTTGGTCAGAATAATTAGTACTAGAAAAAGGCCACTTCAAGTGAATCCACTTAGGGCATGAAATAAAATTTCATAGTAAATAATAAAAAAAATGTATAATTGGTCTTTGTGTTGAGTAAGGAATCTAAACATTATGGAAGTAGTTTATTTTATCTTATGTTTAAGAAAGTTAGGCTATAAGTACAACTATCTATAATTTTGTAAAAATGAGGATTAAAATATTTAGTTGTTTATTATAATTTTTTAATAGTCAAATTATCCTCTTTTGTTGTTAATCCTAAACCAAGGATATTTTCCATTGATTTTTAGAAAGAGTGGAAGGGAGGGGGAGAGACAGAGAGAGAAACATCAATGTGAGAGACACATTGATTGGTTGCCTCCTGCACATGCCCTGACCATGGCCAGGGATCAAGCCTGCAACCGAGGTAAGTGCCCTTGACTGGAATTGAACTCAGGATCATTGAGTCTGCAGGCCGATGCTCTATTCACTGAGCCAAACTGGCCAGTGCAAATCATCCCCTTTTGAAGTGCCTATCTCATTAAGTGGTCTTACTCAGGCAGATCATTATTTTTTAACTAGAGGCCCGATGCACGAAATTTGTGCAAGAGTAGGCCTTCCTTCCCTGGCTGCCTGCACCGGCTTCCCTCTGGCACCCAGGACCCAGGCTTCCCTCACAGTCCTGGCTTTGTCCGGAAGGTCGTCTGGAAGGACGTCTGGTCCAATTAGCATATTATGCTTTTATTATTTTAGATGGTTTAGGCACGAGTCAAATTGCCATCATGAAATTCTGCCCTTTTTGGGGAAGATTTTCTTCTACAATCTCTCCCCCTGCATTACTGAGACTGTTTCATAAATGGTCCTTGCTTTTAATCTGTTCCATTCAATAGCCATTTCTACCACCCCTAGCACCAGTTGATTTAGTTCATACCCTCATTGTCTCTTGCCTAGTACACTGTAATTGCTTCTAACTGGTCTTTCTGTCTCCAACTTTGTCTTTCTGTCACCTAGATCTGGCTGTACTACACACCTTCACACACTTCACTGGCTTCCCAATAATGGGAATATGGTAGCAGTCCCTTAAGTTCTGTGAGAATGTCATTAGATGTTATTGGGAAAAAAGTGTTTTGTATTCACTAAGTTTGGGAAATGTCTGGTTAAGAACTACTGATCTTAATTATGACACTATTTCAATAGCTTAGTTCAAGACATTAACTTACTGAGTTTCAAAAATATTTGACTGGTTCTTCTCGTGGTCATATTCATCTTATTTGTTAAAATTTATAACTTCTCCCAAAGTCATATTTTAAAGGAAAGGTTAAAGAAATTAGAAAGATAGAGAAAGTACCACTTTCTGTCAAGTATATAAATTAATCTAATTTTTTCTTACTAAATTTTTCAATAAGTGGAGGGTCGAAAGATTTTCTGTATATAAGGAAATATAAGTGAGATATGCAGAGGACTTGTACCTGCTCAAGTTTATTAAGTGAAAATGAATATAAATGAGCAAGTATTTACAAATGCCATAGCACTAACAGATTTCCTGTGCGCTGAAGAACCACATGTCTAGAAAACCATGGGTCAACCACAGTCCACATTGAGATGTAGTTTAAAGTGAGTCATGCTGGAATCATTCTAATGCCCTCTACCTCTAGGTTTTGGAAAAGAAATACTCTGGGTATTCTGTCAGTATAAATAGTTGTAGACTGCAAAATTAAGTGAAAAATTTATTCACAGCTTTTTAGAATTGAGGTAGCTAGTGTACTAGAATTGCTCTAATTAAGATAGTTTAATAAAAGCATCTTACTTTAAAAATAAATGCTCATCTTAGGAATAGACTTTTGCAACATTAATGTTCTTCATCAGAACTGCCTTAGGCTGTTTAGAAAATTAGTGCTCTAGTTGCTTTTTAAACAACCTTAAATGATTTTTTAAAATACCTATTCTAAATTTAAAAGTATTATGATGTAATCACTTACTGGAATAATGTGAAATGATTATTTGAAAATTCTTTTTATTAAGTAGTTCATTTGGTTTATTTTGTTCTTACGAGCAGTTGAATATTAATAAAATATTTTTATTAAGTAATTCATTAGATTTATTTTGTTTTCATAAGCAATTGAATGTTAGATTTTTTATATAATTATTTTGAAAACTTTAAAGAGTTTAATTTTCTCACTACTGAATTTCCTCATCCCCTCCCCTCACTTTGAAAAATCTTAATACGTTAGAGAATTTATGAGAAGCATGTCTAAAGGAAAGACCTATAAATAAATAAATGTAATTAATGAGCCTATCTGAACTAGTTAATTGTTTCTGTTGTAGATCTCATAGGTGGCAACCCTTGGTGGCTGAATGACACATCTCCCTTTCCTTCTGCACCACCAATTAATGGCACACACAGACAGAAGAGATCAACAAGCACTGAGCGCTTTGTGGAGACATTAGTCGTGGCAGACAAAATGATGGTGTCCTATCATGGCCGCAAAGACATTGAACATTACATTTTGAGTGTAATGAATATTGTAAGTTTGATCCCTCTACATAATATTTTAATTTAATAGTTTTGTTGTGTTTTTTTTTTTACTAAGGTCATAGATTTTTATTGGGAAATAATGATTTTAAGAATTTATTCCTCTAAAATGAAAAAGACGTGATCTACTAATGTTTCAGTTCCATAGAAAATGCATTTAAAGGTGATCTTATTATTTTCAGATAATATGACTTTTTAATTAATAAGGTCATATTAAATCTTGTTTAAGAGGTTTTCTTTAACTTGACACATCAGCTCATCCTCTTAATTACTGTGTTGTCATTCATCTTTAGGGGAAAATATTTCTTGAGGTAGACTTGAACCTTTTACCGAGGCATCTGGAGGGTATTGCTCTAAGTGACATGGGATGAAAGAAAACTTTTTTATACATAGTAGCTAAATTCATGAAAAATTATTTTGCCACTCTATAAAAATATTAATCACCCTATGATTTTTGTCTGACTTTGTGTCTTTTCTTATTTTCTGGAGGTCAGGTTGCCAAACTTTACCGTGATTCCAGCATAGGAAACGTTGTGAATATTATAGTGGTCCGCTTAATTGTTCTCACGGATGATCAGGTAAGAATGAGTTAGTTTATAAATCTAAAATCTTGACAGGCTATAGAATTATGTATTATAAAATAATATATTGTATTATTGCTCCTTTTAGGAAGTTCTAGTTGAATATGATTTTCAGCACTAAGCATTTAGCAAATTTTTTAAAAAAAATATTTTTATTGATTTCAGAGAGGAAGGAAGAGGGAGAGAGAGATAGAAACATCCACGATGAGAGAGAATCATGGATCGGCTGCCTCCTGCACGTCCCCCACTGGGGATTGAGCCCACAACCCGGGCATGTGCCCTTGACCGGAATCGAACCTGGGACCTTTTGGTCCCCAGGCCGACGCTCTATCCACTGAGCCAAACCGGCTAGGGCACATTTAGCATACTTAAAGTTTCCAAGAATATACCTCTTATGTCATGTTAGAGCTATATATGTATATTAGCTGTGTGTTTCAGTATAAAAATAAACATTTGCACAACAGACCTTCTAATAGTGGTTTTGGTTGATTTTATATGCTGATAATCACACATATTCACATTATCTTAAAGCTAGAACTAGAAAGAATGTTTGTTTAATAGTACACTAAATTAGCTCTAGGTCAGATATTACAGAGATAAAAATTGGCAAGAGAGTATTCCTAGAAACCACTGCTTCTAATTATAGCCCCACTTTAGTCTTCAAAAGTTTTAACAACTGACCTTAGTAATTTGTTTGGAACATTTCTGGTATGCATGTTGTATTGCAGCCAAACTTGGAGATAAACCACCATGCAGACAAGTCCCTCAATAGCTTCTGTAAATGGCAGAAATCCATTCTCTCCCACCAAACTGATGGAAACATCATTCCAGAAAATGGGATTGCCCACCACGATAATGCGGTTCTTATGACTAGGTATGGTTTGTTGCAAGTATTTTACCTTTGATTGTTGTGTTTGATTTTGTCACTATATTTGGTTCTATCTAAAGCCTTATTTAGGCAATGAATATAGAGAAAGTAAAATGGTAATTTATTATTCACCACTGAGAAAGAATATATTACACTGTTATTGTGTTTGCATCAAATAAGAAAAAGGAAGATTTAGTTGAGGTAGAAATTTAATAAATATCTTACCTTCTACTAAGGTCTGTTCATAGGGTTTAATTGGAAGCACATATTTGCTTTGTGAATTGAACATACTAAATGCAAGATTTTTAAAAGTATGAGAAAAATATATTTTAAAACTAAAAATGTCATCACTCTTGGTTATAAAATATATTAATTATTCTTAACTCCAAGTGTTAAAAGAGTGGACATCGGTAGTTACACTGTTTACTTAGATAAATGTTTATTTAATTAAAACTATTTAAATTAAGATATGCTTTACATATATATATATGAAGCTTTATTATACTATATGTTGAATAGCTTGTCTCTCAGGCAAACATTATTTGATGGTAACCCAATGATTGCATCTATTTCTTAACCAGTTTTACAAAACTGGTTTCAGATCCATTTTATTCCTTACTTTCCAACAACTCTGTGAAGTAGATATTGTTATTATTTTCCCCATGTAAGAAATGGGGAAACTGGTTCAAAATACTGAAGTTGCTCAAGATCATTCAGCTAATAAGTGAAAAAACAGGACTCAAACCCTGGTGTTTCTGTCTATTTTGATTATATTATGCTGTCTTGGATTTTTTATACTTGAGTTATGATTGACTAGAAGTATGCTTAAATCATTTTAAGATAAGGTTGTCTTTTGACCTCTAATCAGCATTTAATATTGAAAACAATAAATAATAACAAAGAACAATAAACAAAGTGGAAGCATTGTTCTGTCTTGGCTAAATGCAATAGCCCTTGTTATTTTGATTGTTTCTTTTAATTTGCAAAGCGGTATTTAACATATACTTCATCTGGAGTGCTCATGACTCTACATCAAACACGATGGAGGGAGTAGAAAGAATATGGGATTAGAATCTTTAGACCCAGAATCTTGAGTGAATTTAGCTTAAAAAAAATTTCTCTTAGAGTTGTAAAGTTTCTGAGTTTATTTTTTTAACAGTTAGGCTTACTTTAATTGCCTTCATCTACCTGACATCATAAACCAGAATAATTTGTTTATGACATGCTTGTTGAATAAAAACAAAATGGCACAGTTTTATATTCATATGTGTTGATACATCAGTTTGATAAATCTTGCAATTCCTTGGCATCTTGTGATCTGGAATGATTCCCACATATATTTGAGGAGTTAAAATATTTTAGAAATTGTGCAAATATAGAAAGCTTTGTGTAAAAATATATACAGATATCATTAATGTCAATGAAATTACTAGAGGAAAATGTCTATTAATATGGTTAGGAAAATGATTACAGATATTTACATTGGCTCCTGTATTTATATTTATAAAGCCCTACCTCATCACAAAGACAATGCCCAGTGGCTCTTGATGCTCACGTTTTTATTATTGTATCTGCATTGGATTTGTAACTTTTGCATCAAGTGACAGGAGTTACAGCAGCAGTGCACATTTGTAAGTATTTGAGGAGTGAAGTACATCTGGGCAGTTAGCCACTCTGTCTTTGCACTGGCTACATTTGGCTGTCTGACTTGTTACTCTGAATTGGCCCAGATATTTTTTGATCCTCTGCAGAGACCTTTGCTTCAATAAGAACTTTTAGTGCTTTTTTTGAAGCCTGAGATTTGAACATAAAATTTTCTTTGTAAACTTGTCTCGAAATGGTCAGACCAGCACTAGAAATGATCTCAGGATTTAATAGGACAGTATTTTAACGGGTTGATATCTCATGTCATTTTATATTGGTTATGTAGTGGAGGTTAGAAATATGTCCCTTTGGGCAGTATAGAATGGATTTGAATTGTTATTGAAGTCTCAAACTAACTTTTACTTTATTTAAAAGTCTACAAGTAATTTTGAATTATTAGGGCCACAGAGTGACTTAGCCAAAGGAGATGGCTGTCATCTCTAATATTTAGGTTTTTTGTTGTTGTTTGGAGGTTTTACCAGTGCTTGACTCTCCCTTATAAATGTTTGATTTGTGAAATTGAATATGTTTAAATCATACTACTACTTTTAGTAAAAGTAATTATGAGAATTCCATAGACAATTTTATAGTAATGTTGAAAACTGTTTTATGTAACTCACTTATTAACATATTCAGGCCTAGGACTCCACCATTTAGAGGTACGATAGTGATTTATGTTTGCTTGAAATGGCGGCTCACTAGGGAGAATGTATAATGTATCTATCGAGAATTCCAAAGAGAAATTAATGGATATGTTTATCTCCACTAGGCCTAATTTTGTCCTAGGGATTTAAATGTTTTAAGCAGAAAACCATTTGGAACTATAGTTACTTAGGTAATAATACTAGTTACTTTTGGAAAAGAGTAGAAAAGCTCAAGATGTTATCTCCTCTTAGCAAATAAAATTTCATTGTTTTATTTTACTGATATAAATGTAAAATAAACTGTGTGCTACAAAGTTATCAGATCACTGTGACTAGACAGAAAGAAACTAAAGTAAAAAAATTTTTGTTATTTTACATGGTATCAAAAATACTGAATGAACACCAAAGAGCATTTAAAACTTTATATATATATTTAAATTTTTATATACACTTATTTTTATACATAAGTATATATATATAAAATAAGTGTTATACATCAGCTAACTTTTTAAAAAATATATTTTATTGATTTTTTTACAGAGAGGAAGGGAGAGGGATAGAGAGTTAGAAACATCGATGAGAGAGAAACATCGATCAGCTGCCTCCTGCACACTCCCCACTGGGGCTGTGCCCGCAACCAAGGTACATGCCCTTGACCGGAATCGAACCTGGGACCTTTCAGTCTGCAGGCTGATGCTCTATCCACTGAGCTAAACCAGTTAGGGCTACATCAGCTAACTTTATCTAATCTTTTTAAAAATAATTGAGGTATAATTGACAAATACAATTGTGTATATTTAAAGTATGCAACATGATGAATTGATATACATATACATTTTGTGCTGATTACCATAATCAAGTTAATTAACACACTATCACCTCATAGTTACCTTGTTTCTTATTTCTTTTTTTGGGGTGAGACTGTTTAACATCTACTAATTTAGCAAAGTTCAAGTATACATACAGAATTATTAACTATAGTCACTATAGTCATACTGTGTATTAGATCCTCAGAATTTATTCATCCTATAACTAAAAGTGTGTATCCTTTGACTAACATTTCCCCCACCCCCAACCTTGGGCTACTATCATTCTATTCTCAGTTTCTATGAGGCTTTTTTTGTTTTGTTTTGTTTGTTTTGCTCTTGTTTTTTTTTAAGATTCCACATATAAGTGAGATCAGAGAGTATTTGACTTACTCTCTTTGGTGTATTTCATTTAGCATAATGCCCTTCTGGTTCATCCATGTTGTTGCAAATGATAAGACTTTCTTCTTGTTATAACTGAATAATATTTTATTATGTATATACTGTATATTACACATTTCTTTTTTCCCCCAGAGGTTGTCTACCACAAATGCAGTTTTTGTTTATTTTTGTTTTGTTTTTGTTAATCCTCACTCGAGGATATTTTTCCATTGATTTTTAGGGAGAGTGGAAGAGAGAGGAAAAGACAGAGAGAAACATCGATGTGAGAGAAACACATCGATTGGTTGCCTTCTACACAGGGCCTGGGCCAGGGAGGAGCCTGCAACCAAGGTATGTACCCTTGACCGAAATCGAACCCGGTCCTTTGGTCTGCAGGACAACACTCTATCCATGGAGCCAAACCAGCTAGGGCCACAATTGTAATTTTATTTAAATTTTATTTTTCAATTGCAGTTTATATTCAGAATTATTTTGTATTAGTTTCAGGTGTACAGCATAGTGGTTAGACAATGATATATTTTATGAAGTCTTCCCCTTGATATTTCCAGTACCCACCTGGCACAATACACAGTTATTACAAGATTATTGACTATATTTCCTATGCTAGACTTTATATCACATGACTATTTTGTGACTACCAATTAGGAGTTCTTTTGAATGAGTGTTTTGGGTTTTTTGGAATACCAGAAGTAGAATTGCTGGGTCATAAGTACACCACATGTTCTTTATCCATTCATCTGTTGATGGACACTTAGGTTGTTTTCATATCTTGGCTGTAGTGAATAGTGCTGCAATGAACTCTGAATGCAGACATCTCTTCCAGGTACTAATTTATTGATTTCACTTCCTCCGGATATGTTACCTATAAGTGGGATTGCTAAATCACATGGCAGTTCTACTTTTAAATTTTTGAGGAAACTCAAAACTGCCAGCAGGGTAGTCTCCATGCATCTCCATCAGCTGAAGTTAATGTTGGGAGATTTCAGGGGTTCTCAATGGCCCAGGCTGCAGTTGTCTGCAGCAGCAGTGAAGGTTGGTTGGACCACCTGGTCTCTTTTCCTCCCAATGGGGTATGTGATATGCAGCTGGGGAGGAGATTCCTCTTGGTGCCAGGTCCAGCTTGCAGACACCCGTGGAGCAGTGGTGGAGCCGGGGACAGAGTGCCAGTGCCTGCAGTGTGACAGCAGCTCTAGGAGCTGGTGTACAGGTTACCCTGCAGTGATGATGGCGTGTGAAATGCAGTACGTACCAAGTGGCTATGAAGACAGAGTCTGACGCATGGGCACGCACGGAGCAGCGGCAGCATTTGGACCCACGATGCGGGCTATTCTGCAATGGTGTTGGCTCTGGTTTGTGAGGTGTGGGCATGTGTGGAGCAGCCATGAGGCTGGAGTCTGGAGCATGGATGAATGCAGAGTGGCCTTGGAGCCAAGGTTTGGAGTGCAGGAGTCAGCGGAGCTACTGTGGCTCTGGAGTCAGGTGTGCTCAGGTTTGGAAGGTGCTGGCAGCC